GCCCGGGTAACCGGGGGTGACAGTCCCCTCCGGCTTACTCAGCCCCCCCCCGGTGCACCCCAGGCAAAGCGACCTGCTCCTGCACCAGGAACGAGGGATGCTGGTGTCAGCTAAGCTGCAGCCTGGGACTACACTTGCGTGGTCCCCACGCACCCCACCCTGCCCCACGGCACTGCTGCCTATCTCAACAGTGTGCCTATCACTGTTTCTGAGCAGAGCTGCCTCCTGGCACAGTTTTTCCAGGGTAATCCCCCCAAGCTGGCCCAAAGCTGCAGAGATTGCCCTCATCCCTGCCGGTGCTGGCTCTCTGAGTCCAAAGCACCATCACCGCTCCAGGCCCTTCCTGGGGGAACCGCAGGGCAGGTGTCAGCACTCACGGGAAACCAGATCGAAGCATTTCTTGTCATCCGTGCTCGGCTTCACCTGGCAGGTCAGTAAATTCAGCTTGGCTGGCGGGCGGTTGAGCTGCAAGCAGAGTGGGGAAGCATCAAAGGGCTGTGGTCCAGCGGTGACGAGCATCGCCTGCCTCTGGAAGCAGAGCCATGGACCTGCCTTCTGCCCAGCACTCTGTCTTTTGGTCTGTTCTCAGAAGCAATGTGAAAAATAGCAGCACAGACTTTTTCTCTCCCAACAGCCACCCCACGCTTGGAGCCAGGTCCCCAGGCTCAGCCCCTCCGTGCACACAGGCATGCGAAGGTCTCTTGTGTTCGTCTCAAGCCCTCTTGCGTTGCAGGGACTTACGTCTCAACAGAAAGCCTCTTACGCCAGGGCAGCCCAGCGGCACCAGCAGCAGGCAGGAGGGCTCTGACGAGCCCCAGCCATGGGCATGGCTGGCATGGCCGGCTCTGCGGCCCCTGCGGTGTCGAGCAGCAGCTCCCAGGCAGGAGCAGAGCAGAGCGGAAGAAGCGGTTCCTACCATGCTGTGGGAGATGGTCAGGTAGCCATTGCTGATGGTGCATTTCCTCTTCTGCCAGACTTTTCTCAAACTGGAAAGAAGCGGAGGGTGAGCCGTGATGACACACGTGGAGGAGCAGACGTGCACTGGCAAAGGCCAGAGCCATGCAAGGCACAGCACGGGGCCACAGCTCTCGTCAGAGAAGCTGGCTGGGCTGCCACAGACGGGTCAGCTCTGGGCTGAGCAGGACACATCACGTGGCAGAAGACAGGCTTGTACAGGTAGGCAGCAGAGCTGCTGTGGAGGCGATGCCGGCGCAGAGCAGCAGTCGGGGCAGCAGGACCTGCTAGGAGGGCATGCAGCCCCTCTGAGAAGACCTCAGCAAACACCAAGACCACGACCTCGAAACTGCTCCCAGCTGGCTTTCCTGTGCCTGCCGTTCAGGGCCAATCGTAACACAGGAGAAAGGTGGAAGAGAAAACGGAGAGAGACCGAACTTCGGTCTGTGGCAAAGGAGACTCCTAAGCCCCAGTTCATTATTTTCTGTCCAGCTTCAGGTTTTCTAGGACCCTTCACAGTCCTTCCCAAGTCTCCCAGCGCAGGACCCCTGTGATTCCCAGCAAGCGTCCTCCCACGCACTAGTGGGAGATGCTCCTCTTCCCAAAGACAGTGGATTGCTTTCTGGGAGCTCGCAGTCTGGCTCCTGGAGAGGGGCACAGTCTTTCTCCCCTCTGGTCCATGATGCTGTCTTCAAGGCTGCACTGACCTACGCTGTGTCTAATTCACCCCACATTTCTGCTCGTTCCCCTAATTCTCACAGTCAGGGAGCCAAGCCCAGTACTGAACGGTGAGGGAAAAGGGGACCAAAAGGCAAAGGATGGCCCAGGACAGGGGAGGAAGGGAAAGGAAGGGAGAAGATTGCAGAAAACATCACCACGATCGTATCTAAATCCCCTGAGCGTCTCCCACTCGGGAAGGGTGGAGGGGTCAGGGCTCCTCACCCTGGAGCAGAGACGATGGAGGGGGTTCTGGAAAGCCACGAGTGCCTGGGAGAGGGGGAAAGGCACGGACAGGGGTCTCTCCCAGCACGAGACCTTGGGGTGTTGGATGAAGGTGGTGGGATCCCTGCTGGAAGGAGAGATGGGGAGCTGGTTCTTACTCCCCACAGTGGGTGCAGGGTCCTCGCCCCCAGTGCTCACAGAGCTTCAGAGGACATTGGGCAGCTTCACAGGAGAGGAATACCCTCAGAGCTAAAAGACAGACACAAGCTGCCTGCAGCTCTGTGTTGAAAGCTGCTGGAGGCTGGGGCAGTGGTGAGGACACCTTCACACGCGCCTGTCCTGTTCCTCTACCTGGTGGCCACCCCAGGAGAGGAGGTTGGTCTGGGTGAGCCCTGCTCTGGCCCCAGGTCACCAAATCACAATTGAGAGAGGCATGCTGGATCCCAGCTTACCCATCGCTTTTCTTGTAGAGAGTGCCCGACTTCTCTGTGCCGTACTGCTTGTTCCCGTGCAGCTGGTGCATGTTGTACCCTGCCTGCTTGTTCCCAGGCTCCTGGCAGAAGCAGAGACTTAGCAGCAAGGTCATACTGCTGGCAACCATGAGCACGTTCTCAGGGCACTGCCAGGGACCCTGTGCTGCCCCAGAACTCACCAGAAGCCCCATGACTTTCTGCATCGGCGGGCAGGCACTGTAAAAGCAGCTGCCATGCCATGCCTTCTGCAGGCACCACCCCGTGTTCCCTCGTACGAAGGGCCAGAGTTTACCTCTTTTTGCTCCAGCTGCAATGCTGCTTTCAGCTGATCCCGAAGGGCGCAGAGCTGCTTCTTCTCCTCGTCCTGCCTGATCTTCATCTGAAAAGCACCGGAGCGCAGCAAGCCGCTCACATGGCAGCAGGGGCCTCCTGCCTCAGCATCCCACTCTCCGGGAGCAGCAGAGGTGCCCCCGCACCACCCTCTGCCCTCGTCGCCTCCCCGCGCCCGTGGGACGCACCCAGCCCCATTCCTACAGTGGGAGGTTGCCGCTAATACCCTGCGGTGCCATGGTATGTGGCATGTGCAAGAAGTACTTCAGTGGAAACCTCGCTGGGGGAGGCAGCAGGCATGTCCCCAGCACTGGCACTCCTACAACACAAGACCTCAGGAGAGCTGTCTGCATTTTACTGAGAAACCAGCTGTTTGCAGCTCTCCACAGTGTAAAAACAACCAACAGCTTGAAGGTCACCATGGCGGTTGGGTATTTTTTCCTTTGAGGTGTCAGTAATTAAAATAATTTAAAGGTCCCCAAGCCATCAAAAAGTCGATGGACCTTTGCACAGGAATGGGGCCCTGAAACGGAGCTGGGGGTTTGCCTGCATGACGGATCCGTAAGGTGCTGCTTGCTGTGCTCAGTTACCCTGCTCTGGCCCCAGGTCACCAAATCACAATTGAGAGAGGCATGCTGGATCCCAGCTTACCCATCGCTGGGTACCCAGTGCTGCCTCCCCTCTTTTTGTTCTCTCCACAATGAAGTTTAATATGAGTGATTACAAATTATGGAACAAGCAGGGTAACACCCCTAAAGCAGATTAATTTGAACAAAGCAGCAGATGCCCAGAGGAGACCTGCACTACAGGACCGTGGAGACGAGTACAAGTCATGCTGACACCGTATCTGGGTGAGGATCGTATCGCAAGCCTCTGCAAATCTTGACTTTCAAGGAGGTATGGAGAAGGATGAGCAAGCCCAAGAAAACTGGAACTGAGGTCCAGAAATGCTGGGAAACCAGCATAAACCCTCTGCTGGCCTTGGAGGATGTCGTACCACCTGTGACAGGAGTGCCCAGACCGTCTCGGGAAGCCTTGCCGCTTGCACAGACTCCCGTCTGGCTCCTGGCTGTGTATGACCAACAGAGCCCAAAGTCAAAAGCTAATGTTCACGAGGCTTACATGACCTGCCTCCGCGGCTAAACAAAGCCCCTGAGGAAGTGCATTAAGAGCTGGAGTTGGCAGCAACAGGCATGGGAAGCTAAGAGCACAAATTCGAAATCTGGAAGTCTGCAGAACAGCTAGGGCTTTGGCAGACGAATCTGTTAGTGCCTCCCTGGTTCCCGGGTTTATGCTTGTTCTTCCTACGCTGTGCGCTGGGGTATGGCACCATAATTTTCCCAGTCCCAGCGATGGCTGCCCCCTCTGTGGGCCACTGTGCACCAGAGGACCAGGAAACAACGATTAATAGGTGTGAAGAGCTGCAGAAGTCCTCAGCTCTGCTTCCGCAGATGAAGAGGATGCCCTGGGGAAGACATCCCTGCTCTGCTCGCCGCACCCAGCTTCAGACAAACACTCACACTCTGCAGCTCTGGGACGAGCTTCTCTGTAAACTGCTTAAGTTTTCCCGTTGTGTTTAAACATTCCTGGAAAAAACTGAGAGGAGAGGCTAGTGTAAGGGCATGTCCTGAAATCCTGCTCCCAGCACTGCCTGTGAAGCCTGCAGACCACGGGCTCCCCTGAGCTCCTGCCTCAGAGCCCATCATGCCTTTAGCAGGCAGTGCTTTAGAGTTGAAAAAAAAATCTTTCTTAGGAAATGTATTTTGAAAAGTTTTGCAGGCAGTTAAATTCAGGGAGAGCGCTCAGCACTCTGTCGTCTTTGCATCCCAGCTATCTGCTTTACACTGGCTGATGAAAATTGATCAGACTAAAGAGAGGGAATGCACCCCCTTGAGAGCCTTGCCTCCACCGCCTCCAGGAGAAGAGGGCTTTCGGCAAGCTACAGGACAAAGCTGACTGCAGGAACCCAGGTCCTGCCAGTTAAGCCACCCCCCAGGTCCTCTCTACAGCCAGTGCTTCTGGGGAGCAAGGGCATGCAGGCAGGATACCGGTCGCTCTTACCTGAACTGTGAGCTGCAGTGCTTGATGTGGTTTTGCAGCAGGTCAATCCCTTTCTTGGTTTTGATCTCGTTCACTTTGATTAGGTACTGAAGGGAAAAGGACACGAGGACTGAATTTGTAGCTTTGAGAGAAATGCCTCTGATGCACGTTACGGATGGGCGTGGGCACAGGGCGAGGGAGGGGATTCTGCCCCGCTCTGCTGAGACCCCCCAGGAGTCCTGCGTCCAGCTCTGGAGCCCTCAGCACAGGACAGACATGGACCTGTTGGAGCAGGGCCAGAGGAGGCCCCAGCAATGATCCAGGGGCTGGAACCCCTCTGCTGGGAGGAAAGGCTGGGAGAGCTGGGGCTGCTCAGCCTGGGGAAGAGAAGGCTGCAGGGAGACCTCAGAGCAGCTGCCAGGGCCTGGAGGGGCTGCGAGAGAGCTGGAGAGGGGCTTGTGACAAGGGCAGGGAGTGATGGGACAAGGGGTGATGGTTTTAAACTAAAAGAGGGGAGATTCAGACTAGATATAAGGCAGAAATTTTTTACAATGAGGGTGGTGAAACACTGGCACACGTTGCCCAGAGAGGTGGTCAATGCCCCATCCCTGGAAACATTCAAGGCCAGGTTGGACAGGGCTCTGAGCAACCTGATTCAGTCAAAGATGTCCCTGCTTATTGCAGGGGGTCTGGACTAGATGGTCTTTAAAGGTTCCTTCCAACCCAAACCATTCTACGATTCTATGCCCCACACACACAGTGTGTTTTGGTCCATCCTGGCAGTTATGTCCTGATGGGAGCAGCTCATGTGGCTTTTCTGGGGTCAGAAGATGGTGCTAAGCAGGGCCCAGTGCTTTGATCTGGCCAATAGAGTGGCGGACCCACCCTGGGTTTGCTGCACTTTACTTATGCAGGGCATTAACACTCAGTTAATACACTCTCAAAGATTCACCACTCATGGTGCCTTCACCAAAGAAAGGCCAGATTTCCTATAGACCTTCAAACCTCATAGCTCAAGAGCCAAGTTCCTCCAAGACCCACTAGACTTGGTCCATGATCCACCTGACCCTACTGACAAAGCTAGTGCTGTGAGCCTGCCTATGCCCAACACGCAGCTGGCATCTCAGCCTGCCTTGAGGACCTTCAGAAGTGAGCTGAAGGTTCAGATTTCTGGCCCAAACTGATCTGCCATCTCACTCAGCCCATCCTCCACCATAACAATCTCACCCACGAAAACCAACACCGGCCCTTTCAGTTGGCAGACTGACAACGTGAAACAGTGTGCTGTGAAACACGTTCAATATTTCTCCATCCTTCTCTGGACTACTCCTACACCAGCATCAGCTCGCTTGACATTGCAACGGCTGTAAAAACAGCAACCTACGGGTAACCGTTTCCAGAGGACCCGCAGGCCAACACAGTAAATCACCTCCCAAAATAAACGTTCAACATGGCCAGCCTCAGGCTTTCCTGTGTTTATTCTGCAAGGATCATTCAAAACACCCTCGATCCATCAGAAGAAGGATTTCCTAGAAGACAGCCTCTCAGGAACCCGAATGTCATGCATGGACTCACATCAGCACAGAATGAAGCCTCCGCCTGACCTGCTCGCCCTGTTGAAGGATGGTGCAGTTCCATAGCACAAGGGCTTCTAATGCTTGCAGTAGAACAGCTGCAGTATGGAAACAGTAGCTGTTTCCAAAACATGGCTACAAAGAGCTGGATATTTCGAATGAAATCGGTATGTTCCAGTCCTTTACTCGTGCTGTTGCTTGTACTTGTGGCAGTGGGAACCGGGAATTCCGTCTGCAGGGGGGTTGGGCCAAGTTTATCCCAACAAGCAGAGGGAGGGCTATGGTGGGACCAAAGAGGGGGAGCAGGGACCTCAGTGCCAGCAGCACCCACCGTGGGCAGTCAGGAAGAAGCCTGGGTCCAAAGCCTTCGTGGAATTTTTCCCAAGTTGTTACCTCTACTGCCAGGTTAATATAGGCGCAAGCTTTGGCTAAACTCCTTGATCAGACCCTGCCCCAGGTTGGCTTGAGCCTAGCACAACCCAGGCAGCTCTTCAACTGAGGGAATATGCCCAGAGTCTCGCCGGCCCAACGGACCTGACCTGCTGCGCAATGGTCCCTGGGGATCTGCAGCCCACATTGGTGCTGCTCCCAGGGGCTCCAGGGGCTCCAGAGGAGCTGCCGGAGGCTGCCAGTGCCTGGAGCAGAGCCTGGGGCACTTCAGCATCCCAGGAAGGCAGAAAGGGACCTGCAGTACCCTGGACACAAGCATCATTCACTAACCGGGGACAGAAGGTGGCTCTGAATGGAAAATCAGTGCGGATTCAGACAAAAAAGCTGCTTAGAAACAATCCCAGGTTGGAGGGCAAGCAAGAAACACCAGCGTGAGAGTCACTGCTGATGTCTGCTTGCTCCAGACTGGGCTCTGCGGGGCTGTGCCACGGACTCTGCGCACCAGTGGAAGGGAAATTCATCCCTTGGGTGCCAGTTCAGCAGCTCCAACACTGCTGTGCGCAGCACAGGCTGGTGCCTGTCCTTACCTCACACATGTTCAACTGGAAGGTCCTGCGCTCCTTCTCCATCTCCTCGGCAATCTCCCCCCCGCTCACCTCGCTCCGCACCATGCCGTGCTGCTTCGCCAGCTCACGCTTCTCCTTCTCGATCTTGGCGCTCAAGGCAAGAGGAGAGACGCGTGAAAGGCTCTGCCTGACTGCTCACCGGTGGAGGCAGACAAAAACCAGCCTCTGAGTCCAGGCCTCAGGGTGAGGGAGCCCAGTGACTTACAGTTTGTTCTCGTAGTCTTTGCAGGCCTTCTCAAAGGGCTTCTTGAACTCCTGGGAAGAGCCAAAGGTGCCGTTTAATGACTGCGACCGGGACCTACTTCCTCAGGGTGCTGGGCCACCCTAGCAGACCCAGGACATGGCTGTCCGCAGGAGTGTCCTTCCCCAGGAAGATCCTCGCCTCTCCTCCGTGCACTCACCGGTGAAGTTCCGCTCGCGGGCACGTGCTTGCACGCACACGCAGATACACGCAGACTCCAACGCGCACACCGCACACACGGGCATCGCACAGGCACGTGCAGGGCAGTACCCAGCAACACCACCTTTCACAGACTCTCCGTTGCAAGGGCAGAAGGAATTGCTCAGACACGCACAAGCCAGAAAGTGTCAGCCAGGTTCTCACCCACGGAAGCCAGAACGTCGTGTTTAACTGAAACACCGCTCAGAAAGACAGCAGAAACCCCCCCAAAGCTGGCAATGCCAGCACAATCTGATTCTTCCCTGGAGATTCATTTAATGGTGAACTAGCCTTGCTGCTGAAAGGATGTTATTTGTTTCTCACCTGACTTCGTGTGACTTCAGGTTCTCTCCAGTGGTTACCATCTTGGTATGTTCATCTGGATTTGTCCATCAAACGCATTTACTCAGGTGACCCACGTTCTGCTCTGTTCTCACCACTTACTGCTCTGCAAACCTCTACGTCAGACAGAGCAAACCTGGCTGCAGGGGGCTTCGGGAGGTCTCTGGTCTAACCTCCCACCCAAGGCAGGGACAGCACTGACTTCAGATCAGGCTTTGTGCAGACAGATGTTGAAAAACCCCAAGGATGGAGAGCCCACAGCCTCTCTGGGGCCCTGTCCCGATGCCTCTCAGTCCCCCAAGGCAAGATTTCATTATTTATGTCAAGGCAGCACCTTGTCGGGACAAATCTTGCATTTATCTCTATTCTAACGAAAACGTCAAACAAATTCAGGTCAGTCTCTGCTTCCTGTTGGAAATATCTTCAGCTTAATAACGACTCCTTGACGGCAGCTGGTTTTTTTCCTCTCTCTCTGCCTGCTTTCTTGGTTCCCAATCTTCTTGACATCTTCCTTAACAATGAAAATAGTGGATTTTTCCCTTTTTATTTCATTTACTTCACAGCAGAAGTTCCACAATTTGCTCTCTCCTTCCACTTTCATGCTGCTGTATAGCACAAGCTTCCAAACAGATGCTGAAACACTCATAATTTGTTTCAGTATTTGGCAATTAGTTCTATGGAAGTGCCCAAACTCTGCCACAGTTTCCATCCCTCTTTCTGCAATCCTGTCCAAAACTGTCCCTCCAGTTTCCCAGAGTTCAGCTGTTTGCTCAAGGATCCCCAGCGCAGCTCTGACACAGCCCAGCTGCAAAACCCTCATCAAGCGTCTGAGGAAACTGCAGAGCTGGGAGAAAATCTAGCGCATGGAACCACACGAGATTAAAAAGGTAAAATTACAGAGTTCAGGCTGATGAAACAGGTTCATTAGGAGCTCAAAGATTCAAGAGGGAAAATACTGTCACAGGAAAATATAAAAGCCTAAGAGAAGAAAACACAGAGGGTTTGTCAGAGTACCAGCAGGTCTGGTGGAAGATGGCAACGGCCAATATTAAGAATCTGTTGCAGGGAGCAGCAGCTCTGTCCCTGCTCCTCCCGAGCTGGTCTGCCCGGCCAGGACGAGCACTCAGGTGTCTCGTCATGGTGCTGAGTGTATTAACACCAAGCTCATTAAATCCTAACAATCTTGTATGCGCATCAGCCAGTAAAGAATTGCTTTACTGCTTCAAGCCATATATACCCTGCTCGCAGAGTCTCTGTGCCCAAAACTACCCAGAGAGGGACGGTGCCAGGTCACCACTGGCAGCTGCTCCACCACATGAGATGCAGGCTACGATCAGCAATCCCTCGACAGCGACCTCGCTCAGCATCAGGATCAGTCCCAGCCTCTGAACCCCGAGCCCCTGTGGGCACGGACACCCCTCCGCAGGCAGAGGCACCCAGGGGCAATCACGCAGAGCTGACGCCCTGAGTACAGCCACGGGGACTTCGCGGTAGGGATGCGTGTGCAGGCTTACCAAGGACCATGATGACCTTCCCATTGGTTAAAAAAAGCAAAAATTAAATATGAGTTTGATGTTTTTCCTAAAACCTACACTGATGACCACTGCGAAACTCTCTGATATCTCTACAGTGCTGAAGATCAAATTGCATGGTCACGTCAGTACTCGCTGCTCTGCAGTCCCTGCGAGGTACCTGCAGCCAGCAGATCCACACTTCCACGCTCAGATTCCCACCAACACGCATGTGCTCGCACACATAGATGCATGAGCCACCGGGGGGTCGGTCGGTGGGGGTGGACCTCCCTAGGAGGTTGTCAGGGAGTTTGTGCAGTGGTAGCCAGGGAAGATACCAATATTTGGTGCATAACACTGATTTTTCCCCACCAGACTCCCTCGGGTTCAGCCAGGTGCTGCAGAGGGGCAGAGGTCCCGGCTAAGGGGCACCACCACCTTGCCCCGCGGCGCGAGGCAGCAGCACGCGGCACACGGAGGCGCAGGCAGACCTGCCCACCCAGCACCCATCCCTGCCCGCGGGACGAGACCCCACGCCTGGCACCCGCTCTGCCTCCAGCCACTCGCTGACCCACCCCACCTCGGCACAGCCCTGGGACCCCGGCTTACCCCTTTGAGCTCTTTCATGTCACCCTTTATTAATGACTCCAGGGAAAAGTTAATGTTGTGGTACAAACTCTGCCACTGGAAAGGAAAGAGAGATCACGCCGCTAGCACCGCGCCCCTGCCCCGATCCTCGCGCAGAGAAAGCCCACACCTGGCACCCGCTCTGCCTCCAGCCACTCGCTGACCCGCCCCACCTCGGCACAGCCCTGGGACCCCGGCTTACCCCTTTGAGCTCTTTCATGTCACCCTTTATTAATGACTCCAGGGAAAAGTTAATGTTGTGGTACAAACTCTGCCACTGGAAAGGAAAGAGAGATCACGCCGCTAGCACCGCGCCCCTGCCCCGATCCTCGCGCAGAGAAAGCAGAGCTGTGTGTGAGCCCGCGGAGCAGCTCCTGTGGATAACATTCAGCAGAAAGCCTCCATCCTTGGAAATTACCAAGCCGGAAAAAGCCAGAGCCAGCCCGACTCAGTGCTGGTGAGCGCCTGGCTTCAGGCAGGATGGAGGGCCTCCAGGAGCCTCTTCTGAGCAGCGTCAGAGGTCTGCGCAGACGGCCCCAGCCATGCAGGCTGCGCCGCTGGCTCTGCAACCAGACGCCATGGCCCCCTGACTCCTTCTGGGGACGAGCGTGGGCCTCCAGGCTGTGGCCCAGAGCCTGCTGCTCTCCCAGGGGACCCCTGCCAGCATCCCCTTGCCAGCCAAGGGCCCCACTCCAATGTGCATGCCGGGACAGAGCTGCCTACCAGGCTCTGGAGAGCAGTCAGCAGCTCCCGGGAGAAGGCAGCAAAGGTGCTAAAGGCGCTGGCCAGCTGCTCCTCACCCTCCAGCTGGTAGTTGGCTGAGAACTTCTCCTGAGCAGCAATGTGGGCTTCGAGGTGGCTGATGAGCTCTAGGGGAACACAGATGGTCTCCGGCGAGTGCAGGGGGAAGGGTCAGGATGAGCATCCAACCCCTGCCTCCCTCCTGGGAGTCACCATGCCCAGTTCTGCTCACACACCGGAGCCGGCTCCTGTTGCCTCCTGCTGCCCCCACCACACCCAGCTGTAGACACCCCTGAGACCCACATTCGCCTCTGTGGTCAACCTGACCTGCAGCAAGGACTCCCCTCATGCACCCATTGCCGTCTCCCCCCTCCTGAGGCTCCGTTCTGACCTTGTCCACAGCTGTGTTCCGCCTTGGCTGCTTTCCTCATCTTCTGTAGCACCGCTCGGTCAGCATCCAAGGCCTAGAAACACAGAGAAGTTGGTCAATGACTACATCCATACACTCCTCTCCATAACCCACAGGGCTTAGCACAAGCTTCAGCATCCCCAAGCCAGCAGACAGGTGATGATCTAGTGGTAGTAGCCCATGTGTATCTTAAGTCTTTGCAAGCCTTCCTGATGTTTTTCTGGAACAAGTAGTCAAGCATTAAAAGAGAACTGGAAAACATATTAGAAAAAGGAACACGCAGCATTGACAGAAAATGTGGATTTCAGTGGCAAGAGACTGTTAGTTGCAAACTAACTGTGAGTTTCTGTTAGTTAAAAACTAAATTTCCATCCTGGGAGCAGGATAATTCCCAATACCAGATCCGACTGGCTGTGCTTTGCTTAGTTGGGCTTTGAAACCCTGCAAGGGTGGAGGTCACGTCTCTAGTGACCTCTTGCAGTGCTGCATCACCCTCTGCAGAAGAAACTTTTCTTAACGCCCAGCCTGAACTTTCCGAGCCACAAAGTAGATATTGCTGCACGTTGTATCATCTGATGCTGCCCGAAAAAGCTTGATGCCATTGCCTAGAACTGCCCTCGGATGAGCTGTGGGCTGCTGTTGGACACCCCCTCTTCACCCAGCTCTGCTTCTCTTTTAACATCCACTGACCTTCTCTGCTATCTCCATGTCGCTCCTGACTGGGGACAGTCTTCCAGGTGTGGGTGAATGGGTTTCACCGGACTGATGGGAGCCCTGACAGCTCCCACATCGCACTGGCCCAGCCGCAGGGAGTGACAGGGCTTCACTCTAAGGGTTGTCCTGACAGTGCCAGAGCTTGAAGACAGGGCATAGGCTTTTGAGATCCATGAACACTGATTTGTGGGAGCAGTTTTACAGCAATTTGGGAATGCAAAGAACAGCCCAAGGTGGACTTGCATGCTACAGCTAAGGCTGTTCAACAGCTGACCGGGCAGGTGGGTACCTGGGGAGGGGGAGTACCACCACTAGCTTTGTCCTCTGTTGTGCACTGTGGCAGCCAAGCCATGCAGCTGAACCCGGGTAGAAGAGGAAGATGTGAGTCCGGCTCTGCGTGGGTCAGCGCAGTCGAGACGGTGGCATGCAGGGGCATCGCCATAAACATTTAGGTACCCAAGGAGCAGTAGCGCTGGAAACTTATCTGCCTGCATAGTTCCAGAGTTCAGTGCAGCAGGGAGGTTGAGAACTTCAATTATGGACTTAGACCCCAAAACAGGAGTTGCCACCCACGACTCTTAGCACCTGCACCTTCTTGTCCAGCCCAGTTTGGGACTGAGGTTTTCCAGTCAAGCCCTCAAACAGAGACTCCTGGGGCAACTAACATAAGACCTCTAGGACCAGCAGGACTATGCTCACACCAAGCAATGCAAATCCAGGGAATCCAGTGTTACGGTTCAAAAAGATGCCCATGGGCCAAGGTCAGAAAGGCAGTGGTGGGACAGTTATCATGAGTGCTGCCGTGAGGTAGGCACAGTCTCGTCCTGGGCCACAGCTCCCTGCAGATGTCTGAGTTGCTGCATGTGGGATTCATCTCACTGACCTGAAGCATCCCTTCGCCCTTCTTCAGGCGAAGTGCCTCTTCCTTGCAGAGGCTCCACTGGGGCAGCTTTCCCAGTTCCAGATGTCTCTCATCTCTCTCCTCAATCCTACAGCAGACTTTTAGCCACACAGTTGGACTCGACCTCTTCCCTTCCCCACCTGCCCTTGTGCGTGGCACTGGGAGAGAGCAGTCTGGAGCCTGCTGCCACCGAGACCCTGATCTCCAGCCTCCCAGCAGCCTCCAGAGCCTCTCTTGCCCCTTGCTCCCCTCTGCTGCTGGAACCGACCTTGACGAGCATGGCTGCCTCCTTCCGAAACTGTCCCTGGAGCCTGCTCAGGTCCCTTGTGATGCCAGTCATGCTTACACTTCATCTTTTGCCAGAAATTCAGCTCTCCACACACAGATGCTCAAACCTCCCACATCCAGGGCCTTCCTCTTCCTCTCTCCTGACAATCCCCTCCCTGAAGGCATAACCTCGGTCCACAAGTGACCCATCCCCACCTTTGGGACAATTCCCTGCCTTCTGGGCCGATGTTTTCAGGCCAGGAGGCTTCCCTGCTTCAGAGGAGCAGCACCAGGGTGAAACCCCTCCGCCGTGTCCCCAAGGCCATCACCACCAGGCACCTCCACTGCCCCTCCCCTGCCTGTACTTCCACCTGCGTTCATCACCTCGTGGGCACGGATCCGGGTCTGCACGCAGCCGCGCTGTGCGACTTCCCCTTCGGGGACCTGCCGCCAGCTCCGGTCCTTCCTTGAGCCGAGCGCTTTCGCTCTGCGCCCACGCTGCTGCCGGGCTCAGCACACACCGTGCTAGGACTCTCCTCGCTCGAGGACGGGCTCCTGCTGCACTTTCTGCTCTCTCCCACACTGGTGCTGCTCTCCGCACCTGCTGACGGCTGTTTGCATGCACAAGGACTCTTCGCTGCACAAAGTTCCCCACACCATCAGTAAAAGCTGCTGGCTGAGCCGCTGCAGAAGTCACCGGGATTTCTGCCTTTCAGAGGTGAGACCAAGCAACAGAAGGACCTGCGGCTCCAGCTCTTTCAGATCTGTTTTCATCCCTGTCTGAGATTTCCAGTGTGCTGCTCCCTTCTCACTAGTTTTCAAGAGTGCAGACAGACACAGATTGAGAGGGACCTCTGATCGTCTGCGTAGACACGGCATCAACAGTCACAGGACAACCTTGCACGCGCCCTTTGTGGGACTTTGCACCCTTTGTGCGGCTCAGCAGTCTCCAGAAAGACATCCAAGCTGCACTGCAAGACAATGGCGACCATTTGCTCCACCTGGGTCATGCACATCAGTAGTTCATTAAGTCACAGCTAAAATACTGCAACTGATTTATTTTTTCAGTTCAGCTTCAGCTCCCAGCTGCTGGCTTTCGCTTGCCCTTCTCCAGCACCAGTCAGAAGGAACGAAGTCGCAGGCGAGAGCCTGGTCAGCCTCACCTGGCTGCATGGCGAGAGCGTGTTGGGCTCAGGGAGAAGCAAGGCAGAGGCCAGCACTGATGCAGGCAGAGAGGACCTTCCTCTAGGACAGGCAGAGAGAGGAGGCACCTAGCTCCTGCTGACACCAGCACCCAAGAAGAGCAACTGGGGATAGGCGCGATGCTGGCGTTTCTCCTTGCCACCTGCTCAGTCCAGCCCTGATCTATAACCAGAGATGAAGGTGCCTCCTGCCCTACGCAACCACTCGGCTCACACCACCGCTCCCCGCTTCCACTGCGGCAAATCCCCTGCGGGCTGCGCCGGGGGCTGCTGCCGCACAGCAGTGGGAGCGTGTCCCGAGTTCTGTGCCCGCTCCGACGCGCGAGTCCAAGCCAGGAGCTCTGCAGACACAGTTCAGCAGTGTTTCCCTCTAACCGCAGCTTCCTGATGTAGCAGCTCTGGTTGCTTTAAAGGACTGAAGTTTTAGCTTTCCTCGGGGTGCAAGTGATAGAGTAACAGTTGAAAATTAAGCAACACAAGGAAATTGCCCCATGAGCAGAGGCTCCTGAGCAAGTCCTGGCCTCCGGAGGCCTAAGGACTGAGAAGAATAAAACCTCAGTGACCACCGCTGAGAAAACGATCTACAGGAGCACAGCTCTACACCTGCTCCAGGGGTGCTTCAGGGCAGTGTGGCTGTCACAGCCCTCAGACAGGCCCTGATAAAGTCCCGGGCACCATCCCCTCATCTGCTGAAACTACAAAGTCATGAGAAAGGTGCCACGGTGGTGGTGCAGTTTAGTGGCTCCCAGCACATTTACCAGACCTACCGGAGGAGGCACTGAGGGTCTTGAAGCCCTTGGACCACCATACGGAGAGCCCCACCACAGTGGCAACATCTTGCGGATACTTTCCATAGGGGGTCAGGACTTCGATTTGCGCAGGAACAGGACAGCGCGATGGTGACGCTATACTGGCCATAGTTCCCAGCTGAGTCCCGAGGTGGGTCTAGGTGGGCAGTGGGATGCCCTCCGTGGGAAGCCAGGCTGCTCCACCGAGCCGACCTTGCCCTCCCTCACGGTCTTCTCAGGGCATCAAGCTCTGCTGCTCAGTCCCTCAGGTGCCAGCAGCATGCAGCAACCCCTTCCCCTCCCCATCAGGGTATTCTGGCTTTTGCCATTGGTCAGAAAACAACGGCATTTGGCCCAAATAAGTTTTGCGTTGGCTGCTGCGCTCAGCAGCCAGCTCTCACCCCGGCTCTGTGAATTCTTGGAACCACTCATGCATTCGGCCTCCAAACCCACCACGTCAGCAGCTCCCAGAGCTCAGCTCTGGACAAGTGGGAAAACCGTCCCACTGCCCCCCAAGAACTTCCTTCAGTTTTTGTTTTGCTTTTCATTTTATGCTGGTCTGGTCTGGTCTGTCCTCTCTTTGCTGCACAGTGTGAGCATGGTCCAAGCTGCAGCCTCCCCCCACAAATCTCTTCCCCCCTTGCTCTTGTCCCCACTGACTGACCCCTGTCACCCGGCCACCGCGACCTGGCACAGGTCCTCGCCAGATCTTTGCTTTGAGTGGTCTGCAAGCACCCAGAGATGCTCGCACCACTCTCCACTCACGGAGACAAATGACACGGCAGCGCCTAAGCCGAGGTGCATCTCCTGCGGGACCACAACACGGGCGGCCCCCCCAGCCCCTCGGGGTGCCGGCCCGTGGCCCCCGCCCCAGCTCACCTCCTCCAGGCTGCTGGCGGGGGCCTTGCAGCGGCCCCCGTGGCTGGCG